AGTAAGTAGTGAAGCAGTCCAGTAAAGGACAGTAAAAGATCAGGAATCAGGATTTTGATTTATTTGGATGTCTAAATAGCTGTGAGCAGGTTTCAGACTGATGTTAACTGAATATTAATGAAAGTATAAAAGACAGAAGCAGCCTCTCTGTTTGTTTGTCTTTGGAGAATAATCGCAGTAGCGCTGAGGCAGAGTGTGACCTCACTCTGCTGATGAACTGAAGCCTCTAACTTAAACATTTATTGATTTCTTCTCCATTTCACAGCCTTCCTGATGAACCCCGGCACAGGCATGACGCTCGGAGAGAAGACTTATTTTCATGGCTGCATTAGAGACGCAATCAACTCAAAGGGTTTTTTTTATTTCCTTGGTAATGATGCAGAGCGAGCTGAGGCAGCAGATGAGGAGAGGAGGAGAAAACAAAGGATAAGAAAATGGAAAGGGGTTCTTCTTACCATGGCGAAACCCACATCGGCCTTTTTGAGGGCGGGGCCGTCGTTGGTTCCGTCTCCCGTCACCGCCACCACCTGTCGAGTTTCTCCCACCGTGCTGTCGATGATTCCTGATCAACAGAGCGGGAAAAAAACAAAAAGCAAATCTTCATTTTAATGAAGAGACAGGAAGGACAAATGAACGCTCTGCCAGACAGAAAAAAATAATAATTACAAACAGCGGAAAGTATAATTCAGAGAAAAACCCTCTACCTCTGAATCCCAGCCTCCCCCCCCCTTAGAGTAAATACAGAACCTGCATTAGGATGAACCCACCTTTGACCAGAGTGTGTTTGTCTGTTGGAGATGAACGGGCCAGAACGCGAAGTTTGGGCCAAACTTTGTCCAGACGCTCCTGCTCCACCTGAAAACGTCAAGAAGGAAGTTTCATTCAAATAATCTGTTTATTAAAATACATTCACAATGAATAAAGCCTCGCACTTGAAGATAGAAATACAAAGATTTACTCAAAGCCACTGGAAGCCTGAACTGAAATATTAAACATTTCTACAGCATGTGATATCATCTACAAAACTCTGAGTGAAAATAAACATTTATAACTTTTACAAAACCTGGTTCAAAAACATTTCTCAGGACTGTGTGGGGGGCGTGGCAGCTCACGTTTTGATTGACATATGTCATAACGCAGAGAAAAGGGTCACAAGGTTGGTATGTTGTTGAATATCAGCTAACCGGTTATCTCCTTGTTAGCCTACCGGAACCAGTAATGTTTCATCTATGCTTCTGATTGGCCAACGCGGCTTTACAGTTAGGCTTATATCGTCGCCTTTCATGTGGACAAAGATGCTTTGGAGAGGCTGAGTGTGAAGTGTTTAATAAAACTTGGAGAACTTGTCGTTAATAACACCCCACCCCCTTTAAATCAAACTTTCTCCCACACAGCTGCGGTAAAAACCTGCCACACACACTCATGGTGAATGCACTGCGTGTCTCCATGGGCACCGAGTCAGAGACTTGTGCAGGCTCAGTTATGTGACCTCATCATTCAGTCTAAACTCTGCAGACACTCTCTGTGGCTGGGTTTATAAACAGGTGTGTGTGTGTGTTTGTGTGTGTGTGTGTGTGTGTGTGTGTGTGTGTGTGTGTGTGTGTGTGTGTGTGTGTCTCACCTCTCCTTGGTCGTTTCTGATCTGCTGGTTGAACTCTTTGCCCTCGAGACACAGGAAGTCCTCCCCGGGCAGCAGGATGCCACACTTGGTGGCGATGGCGCGGGCGGTGTTGATGTTGTCTCCGGTGACCATGCGCACTGTGATGCCGGCACGCTGACACTTGGAAATAGCCTCAGGTACCTGCAAGACATTCAAGTTTTTTAGATCTTAAAAACCTCAAATTGAATAAAGAAGTCAGAGAAACTTTTTTTTTTTTTTTTCCCACTTTTCTTTGATGATTTTCAAGACAGGGACACAAAGGCAGCTTCAAACAGAGTGAGTCTGAAGGTGACTATTTCTAGAAGCTTGCCATGATAAATCAGAGCTGCAGTCACATCTCGAGACGCCGGGATGTGGGACTAAACGTGTGCTGGAGAATCCCTTTGTCGCTGACACTGCAGAGCTCTGTGAGGAGTCCATGTGGACAACACAGCAGCAGCGGTCAGTGGACAAACAGAAAGCTGTCGGCTCAACAGGAGGCTCAGCTGGTGTTTTATGGAGAGCAACGGGAGTTCAGCGTTCCCTTACAAATACATTCACACTGCAGAGCTTTGAGTCATGCAGAGAGGAGTGACCTGCCGTGAGGACGGCAAGAAAAGGGTCACTGACATCGGAAACATCTCCCAAAGCCCTTTCATTCTGGACGTTTATGTTTTATTATGGATATGCGTAAAGACCTCCCTGTTCACCTGTGCAGAGAACAATTGGGTAGTCACTACACCTAGCAACACATCTACAGCCAAAAGCTATGTTTCTGATGCTAAATGCAGGGCTCATTGGGTTACATAAATGTCCTCGTTGTTGTGTCACCCTTAGACAGAACAGCACCAGCAGCATATGACTATGAAGCTGCTAAGAGACATTTCAAAAGTAATCGGAATTTAAACGGGCAGCACCACAGGTACTCCTCTTCCAGTGGAGCTGACCTGCTTGTGACCTGACTAACGTGCTATATAGGTAACCACAAACAAAAACACGCCTTGATGTTTCTATACTTAAAGGCAGGGTTGGTAATTTTCCTCTAGATCAACTTTTTAAGATTTTTGTTGAAATTGTCTTTAGGTCCTGACATGTGTTCTGGAAAAGGCTGCCGCGAGAAACCAATTTTAAGAACTAATGCAAGCGATGAGCTGAGGTCCACTTCTGGAGCAACGGCGCTCGTGCATGTAAGTGAGGGGGCGTGGCTTTTGAGGGATCACAGAGGGGAGGGGGCGGGTGTAGACGGAGCACTGAGGGAATGCTACTTTCAAAAACATTCAAAAATGTCCAACCCTGCATTTAATCTTCACTTCCTCCAAGTCCCCTTTCTCCCTTTTTATCTTCAGTTGTATTTTCTTCCTGTATTTCCTTTATTTTCCGATGACTTTCTAACCCACTCTCTCATCCTCCTCAAACGTCTATCACATTTCCACACAATAAAAAGCTGTCAGAGTGATGTTTCTGGTCATGAGCTAAACTTGTGCACATCACACCTCAGTTTGCTTAGAAATAACCTGTGAGCTGCAGAGCGCCTCCTGCTGCTCGCCGGTTATTTCCATCCCGTCTCTGATCTTGGTGCTCTGACATTAAAGCAGCAGGCAGCAGCGAGGCTTCCTGCGCTTCATTACAGGCTTCATTTAACTCATCGCAGCATCACAACTCTGCACACCTGAACGGGACAGAACGTGGTAGATGTCTGTCATGGACTATCGAGTTTTTACTCTCACATCCTTTTTTTTTTTTACACAAATACACTTTTCATGTATACGAGCAGCCGTCTGATCAGCTCACATTTCCGCTCCATGATGTCTCGGTTTCCTTTCAAGAATAAACTGAACTCAAGTGAATCTGTGTCATGTGATGGTTGACTGGGGCAATCAACCTGCACCTGCCTGAGCCATTCAAATAATAAGAGACATACTGCAAATTTTGAAATGATGCAAATCCAAGAACACATGCAAAAGTCCAAAATAAGCCTGAAATGTGCATCAAAAAGCAAAAACAGGGCGCGCTGATGGCGCAATGGTTAGGGCGCGCGTCCCATGTGTTGAGACTCTCGTCTCGAGCGGTAGGCCCGGGTTCGCTTCCACCCGTGGCCCCTTTCCGCATGTCATTCCCCGCTCTCTCTCCCTGGTTTCCGACTCTATCCACTGTCCTCTCTCTGCATTAAAGGCAGGAAAAAGCCCAAAATAAATCTTAAAAAAAGGGTAGCAAAAACAGCAGAACATACTAGGACTCTCAAATGATTAAAAAAATCTATAAATCGCTATATATTTCAATAGTTAATTGTAATTAATCCCATCTTTTACTGCATGTTTGAAATCTTATTTTAATGTGCTTTGATTTTGATTACTTTACTTCCTGTTTGGATACAAACCTGCTTTTATTTTGTAGGAACTTCTGTCAGCAAAACAGCTGAACAAGAAAAAATGCTGCAAAACCATCAAACCCAACAGATCTGCTCCAGACCTGTAGGGGCGCTAGAGTGAACGTCTATATTATTCAGCCAATTTGATCGTATCATATCATAGCTTATCGTAGCATATGGTAAACTGTCTTTGTCAGGACTTCCATGTGTCAGAGATTTTTAATGCTCTGGATGGTTTAGTTAAAAATCAATAAATAAAACCTTTTTATCTTTAAGACTCTTAACTGACTCCATCAATCTGAACATAACCGTGTGAGATTGTCTGCGTACCTCGGGTCTGACGGGGTCCTCGATGCCGACCACGACGATGCAGGTGAGCTCGTTCAGGATGTCGTTCTCGCTGTCCCAGTCCGGCTCTCCGGCCTCGGCAGGAAAGTCCCTGTACGCCACACAGATCGTCCTGAGCCCATCGCACGCCATCGGCTCGATCACTTTACGCACCATCTCGTCACGGTCCTTCGGCTTGAAGATTCGGGGCTGACCCTGCGCGTCCAGGATACGAGAACATCTGGAGGGGACGTGGGGGGGGGGGCATTAGTTAGGGTCAGAGGGGTCTTCCACATCATCAGATTATTTGACCTCTGTTCTTACTTCCTCAGGACGATCTCCGACGCTCCCTTGCTGTACATCCTGTAGCCTCCGTCAGCGTTCTTCAGCACGGTGCTCATGGACTTACGGGAGGAGTTGAAGGTGTACACCTTGTAGAGTTTCTCTTCAGGGATCTCATCTCTGATTGGCTGGTAGTCTCTCTTCAGCTCCAGAACCAGGCCGAGCAGAGAGCACTCCGTCTTGTTGCCGACGTGGCGAGGAAGGCCGCCTTCTTTCTCCGGAGGCTGAGAGGGGACAAAAAGGTTCAGATTCAGGAGCACAGATCACGTAATGTGATATTAATGTTGATATTGTTTGTTGTGTGTCTGAACTGACCAGGTGGCTAATGAGTTTCTCTGCTGAGGGTTAATGAAGTTTTCTAATTTTATCTCATGACTCGGACTCCAGCATTTACTGCATTCTGATCTGAAGAGGAGGACTCAAACTTTCAAACGTTTTTGAAATGATTCTAATAAGACCCTACTGATTTATTTAGTTTGGAGTCAAGGCTGACACGTGTTCCTTCTCGTGCCGTCTTGTTCAGCCATAGTTTGTGTGTCGTGAAGATGTGTGGATTGCAATCATATATCACTGTGGATTGGGCTACCAGGGTTGTAAAATTAGAATTTCTCATTACTAACAGGTGGGTTGCAGGTATTTCTGAGTTTATTAGACACCTGCTGCGATCCCACCGCAGCACAAACGATTAGTGCGTCTCCCTAAGAAGGTAGCGGTGTGCATTCATGCACGACGAACACCACAGTAACTTCATTAATAAATAAAATCTCAGGATCGTTCAGAATCTTATATTAACAAATAGAAACATGTTTTCTACACATCCAAATGGTCCCACACAGCCAGTCGAGGTTCAGTCAGTTAAATGGTTTGGAGTGAAACAGCGGACCTCCGTCAGAGCTGTGCTGCTGCTTCTATTTAGACAAAGAGGGGCCGCCATTTCTCAGAAAGAGACAAAAACTCTCTACTTGACCTTCAAAATGCGGATATTTTTGGTGAAGAGTGCATTAAGTCCATCTCTCACTTTTGTGGGTTCTAGACATAAACGGTAAATATTAATGGATGAAGCCTGAGTGACGTCACCCATCTGTTACTGTAGGGGGCTTTGGAGTCCCATCGATGGTAGTCGCCATGCTGGACATGCTGTCTCAGCCTATTTTTCCGTCAAGCTAATGACAGGCTAAGAGCTGGAGCTGAGGCGGGTTTTAAGACTCTTGACAAATCGTTACATCACTCCCACTTGTCAGTCAGTTCAGCTACACGCCTTAAGGTGAATAAAACAAAACGGACGAGTAATCAGAAAATTCCCCCCCTGTACAGTGTGTGCTGAGCGAGACGTGAGCATTTCTAACAGGCGTTTTTGAATGGGTGTGTATGTGACTTCCTGTGCTCCTGCAGCCAGCCTCTAGTGGACACTCGAAGAACTGCAAGATTTTGACCTTCCACATAGGCTTCATTTTTCAACACCGGAGGTTACCATGGTTTCAGACTGTCTTTTAAGGTGAACGTTTTAGATAAAGGTGTTGTGTTGTTTGTTCATGTTGCAGTTTGATGCGGCTCTGACGACGGCGGTCTCACCAGGATCTTGGTGGTGTAAGCAGAGTTGATGGAGATACTGTTGACCATGATTTCCAGAGTCTCAGGTTTGATGGCGTCAGGTTCAGGAACAGTTTTGTAGTGCGTGTCACCGACGTACGCCTGCACCACCGTCATCCTGTTCATGGTCAGCGTTCCCGTTTTGTCCGAGCAGATGGCCGTGGCGTTTCCCATGGTCTCACAGGCGTCCAGGTGACGCACCAGGTTATTGTCCTTCATCATTTTCTAAAATATGGAAGAGAAGGTCAGAGTCTGAGGTTAAAACCAAACGTAATCTTGCTTTAAAGTTAATGAAATATTTTGGTAATCAAATCTTCAGCCAACACGCCATTGTCTTTCACGTGGCGTTCAAACTTCTTTAATCTCAAATTTCCCAAAATGCCCTTTGCTTTAATCTTTCCTACCTTGACAGAGTAAGCCAGAGAGATGGTGACGGCGAGCGGCAGCCCCTCTGGAACGGCGACCACGAGCACCGTGACACCGATGATGAAGAACTTCACAAAGTACTGGATGTAGATGGGGGTGCACTCGGCTACCCAGGAGCGTCCCTGAACCGCAAATGTGTCGATGACGAAGTAGAGGATGAGGATGATGACGGTCACAGCCGACATGATCAGACCTGCAGAGCGAGCAGAGTTTAATACAATCCATCAATATTTCCAAGTCCACCTGTTTCAGCCGAGTCACTTTAATACTTTGAGTTTCTATCGCAGGTTTAAATTTGAAACAGTGTGATAAACTTCTTTTCCCCAAATTTTTCAATCTTTGCAAAAGTTTTTAAACATCTCGTGGTGCATTCAGGAACCCTTTATGTCACCTAACTCATGGAAGTTTGAACAAGAAGTATTGACAAGTCAGATTAACTTCAGTGACACAAAGTAAAAATAGTAAAAATGTGATTTTGATCGTTTTAAAATAAGTTTGCAGAGAAGTTTCTTTCTGGACAAAACATCTGAAACATAATTCATTTAATTTAAATATCACTGCTTTGATTCTGTGTGCTTTGTTTTGCTCTTAAGGGCTAAGACACTTTGTGAATAACTTTCATCTTTAGTCCTAACTTTGAGGGGAAATTCTTAGAAAATGTCAAAGAATTTTCTTAGGATTTTGTCACTAGGAGCAACTTTAAGAATTCAGGAGGTTTCCTGCCCTCAAAGTTTTAGGGCCTCTTACATCTTTATTCTATTTTTGTGTTAATTAAAGTCAAATTCCTGGTCTGTGTAAACTGACTTGGCAATTAAACTGATACTGACTCTTGCAGAGATTTTGCGAGTTTAGATTAAAAAAAAGTCTGTCTATGTCAGCAGGATATGACAGCATCCTGAGTGTAGAACAGATCCAGATGAGTTCAGGTGAAACGTGTAAAAACCCACAGCTCGCGTTGCTCTGCTTCAGTTCTCCTCTCAAAGTGTTTTGGCCCAATTTATATTTCCGCTCAGTTACGAGTTATGAGTTTATTACTGAAGCTGTCCTGAAAGCCCCTCAGTGTATTAAGGTCAATTGTAATGACACAGAAAATACGGCCAGCTCCGGGATGATTCGTGTTCCCGATAAAACATCTATCCAATAACAGTGAGTGCAGTCTGACCCTCAGATTCACCTTCAATCGTCTACAAATCGGTTTACTTCAGCGGGGACGGGCTGACCAGACGACCGAAGAGGCGAGACAGAACTCAGAGTTAACCTCCAACGTCAACTGTTCAGAACATGTTGACGTTGTGAAATATTACCTCAATAACAATCAGGTCAAATGTGTCACATTGACATTATTACAAGCTGAACTTATATATATATTTTTAAGTAATATATTTGGCTTTATTAGACAGGACAGCTGAAGAGAGACAGGAGCACAGAGATGACATGCAGCAAAGGCCTGAGGCTGGATCTGAACCCACGGCCGCTGCGATGATGAATATAGCCTCTGAACATGGGGCGTGCATCCTAATGATTTGGCTATCGGGTGCCCTGAAGCTGTACATTTGTAAACCTTTTGCAACATGCCACATGTCTACACAGGACAAAAGTTCCTCAGTCAACAGAGATTAATGGAGGGGAAAGTGACTTTGCAAAAGGACCTCAACACTAAAATGTTCACATGCTAATGTTTGCATGTTCAGAGGGGAGACAGCATCCTGCATGTCATTTCCTATTTCTGTGTCACCCTTGTTTTTTTTTTTACAACTGCTCAGCCTGTTCAGGACACAGCAGCAGGTTCAGAGAATAATCAACGGATGAGAAACGTGAACGTGATCTCTGATTATGTCACTGAAAATCAGACTCCGATGATGCTAGAACTGTTATAAATGCATTAGTGGAGAGCGCACTGGTGCCTTGCTCAAGAGTTACTCCTGGCACCTCTCTCCAGCTACCAGACCAACTTCCATATTTTAGTCCTCACCGGGAATTGAACTAGCGACCCTCCGGCCAACCACAAGTCCCTACAGACTGAGCTGCCGCCACACCTACACCCTCTTAATTTATTTTTTATCTTAGAAGACCCTTTTGTTTACTTACCTCTTTATTCCCTAAAACAAAGTGGCATGCTAGTGAAAGGTCAGTGATTTTATTTCAATATAGTGTACATATACCCAGATGTTGTTTTTTATATCAGTTTATTATAAAATTAGGGAAATAATGTGGAGTAAACAACCTCGTCTGTAGAGCCTAGCTTCTGTACCTGCACTCCGGCCGGTCTCTCCTTAAAGGGGACCGGCGTCTCCTGTAGCTAATATACTCACCATTGACAAGTACTTCATACAAACTCACTTCTCATAAGAGCGGTTCAGTTAAAAAAGCTCATATTTTGTTGAGGCAGAAACCTGTGATATACATTACTACATGATTGATAGTGTGTTTTCTTTCCGAACCAGATTTAATTTTATTGCATTATGTTTCAAACATGTTCTTTTTAATGTAATCTATACGTAATGACATGACTGATCGATAGAGGGTGAATTATTTCCACCTTTGAGTTTTCGGCTTCCGTTTTTGTGCTTAGTTGGGCTGAGGGGTCTTTTTTTCAAACATAGATATGAAACTGATGAGACCAATGTGAGGAGTTAGTGTGGTTGTGTGTGTGTGTGTGTGTGTGTGTTCCTTACCAGCCTTCCCGATCTGCACAGCCAGTTTGGTCAGTTTGCCCTGCAGCACTGACTTCTCCTTCTTTGTCACGTTGACCTTCTTCACTTGCTTCACCTCCTCTTTCTCCTCCTTCTCCTCAGACTCGGCGGCCTCCTCGCTCTTCAGCGGCTGGATCTCCAGGGCGATGCCGTCCTGGGTTTTGGCTGGTAGGAAGAGGAGGAGGAGGTAGGGGGGTAAGGAAGTGGTCAGGGAGTAAAGGGAGGAGGAAGAGGAGTGGACAGAGTAAAGGATGGGATGGAAAATATTTTTTTAGGAATGAGAGGAAAGAGAGGAAGGTTTTGGTCAGGATCAGGGGGGGCAGAGGATGAAGGGAGGCAGGTTTTCAGGTTGACAAAAGGTAAATGAATAAAATCAATAAATAATAACACAAAAAAAAACAAATAAAGAAGGAGGGGCAGGGTTCAGGAGCGGTTTGGGGATGAAGGGTAGAGAAGCAGAGAAATTGTTAAAGACTTTGTCTGCAGGGAGAGCAGAAAGCGGCCGGTCGTTTTTACTCAGAGATCAGAGAAAAAAAAGACCTGTGATATTTATCTTTAACATGGTGACCCTTTAGCTGAATGCAGGAAGCAGCGATTTATCATTTTATGATCACACAACATTCATGAAAAGGTCCAGGTAGCTTTCAGAGAGAGTCACAGACGAGCTGGGAGCAGCAGATCAGAACGAAGAGCAGCAGACAGAACAGAGAACAGCAGAAACAATGGAGAGGATTTCACCCCCTCTCACACACACACACACACACACACACACACACACACACACTCACACAAACACACACACAAAAACACACACAACTCTGTGTTTATTTCACATCAGAGCTCAGAGTTTGGAGCTCTGAAGCCTGACGTGGCGTCTGCTCTCGCCGGCTCTGCTCCTCGTTTGCATAAACAAACTGTGTATTTGCATTTCACTTCATCAGCCGGGATCCTGTTTGGACTGTAACACTGAACGTGGAGCTGTTTGATCTGTCGGAGCTTACACTGAATCCAGCTTCCACGGCTGTTTGTCGTATTTCCATACCAAAGAAATGTGAGCAGGTGATGAATGGAAACAAGTTTTGATGCTGTTTGTCCTCATGAACCTCTGAGCAGACAACACCGACTGAAAAGCAGAGGATTTGATCTGATATATACTCATGGTACGTTTTGAACGTTTTAACACTGGAAATGTTCTGATTGGGTCGTTAAAGTTTTACACAAATACTCAAACATTGTCCACCTGCTAACTGTTCATAAATCCCTAGTGTGGAGTCACTGCTGGTAACAACGCCAACATCACTTCTGGAACCAACAATACCAACAGATCATGGACATAAAGCAGCGGAAGATTCCTGGATGACAGAAAGAAATTATAGTGTTTGCCGATAAACTCTGCAAAAGAAGATCTTACCAAGAAGTTAATCATTTAAATCTGACGATGGTTCACTGCTGCAGGACCTGAACCTACTTTTGTCTTTGCTAAGTCGTCTAAGTTACGATCCAAGTGATTCAGTAAAGGTTTTACATTCGCGAGTTTCAGCTGAAGAAACTATCACCGGAAACAACCAAAAGAAAAATAATCAATCATTTAATTTATAAAATAAATTCAATCTGGATTAATTTCAGACGTTTTCCGCAGCGAGTTTTGAGCAGAAAGTTGGATCTGTATTTTAAAAAATAAGATGACTGGACCTCATGCAAGAACCATTTCTACAGACAGAATGTTTACCTAAAGGGACTTTAAAAGGATTTATCCTGCTGCCGGATTCACGTGCATTCTCACGAGAGATGAGACAGTTGTGGAAGAAGCTTATTGAGCTATGCTGCACACATACAGCATGTTTTACAATTTGAACGGGAGGCTGTGAGGCTTAAAGGCTCAGAGTCTGGTGTATACGGTTTAAGGTATTTAGGTGTGCAGGACAGTTTTGTGTTATAGTAACTGAAGATGTTTTTAGTGAGGATGTTCGTATTCTGCCTATGTATTAAGGGTTGTGGCTGAGATACTGTGAGACTTTAAAAATGCTGAACATGAGAATGTTTTGTCCTTGAACAGTCGGTTAAAAGTACCTTGCCTCTCTTTTGTATGTCCCCTCAATGCATGTAAACCTTTTTGAAAAGCTTGTTGTTTTAAGGTACTATATAGGAAGATATGCCTCATGTTACATTAGGCTGTATGATTTGCATTAAGGTTAAAGTTTAAGGGCGTCTACCCACTGAAGGGGATCTTTCAAATGCGAAAGATTCACTCCCATTGTGTTTTACAAGCATCTGACTTGTTTAAAGCATGCTGGTGCCGGAACCACTGATCAAAGATTATTTTGGGCCTTTTTTGCCTTTATTTAATTTGACAGCTTCAGAGAGAGTGGAGATATGGGGAGAGAGAGCGGGAAACAACATACACTCTAATGAGGAACCTGTAGCCTCCTCACACGGGGCACCAAATATACCAGCCATAATGTGTACATTTTCCAACGACTTGCCTTCCTCATGTTGTCATAATTATCTGACTTAAGAAAATGGTGATATACTGTTCAGACAACCAGCCTTGCAGCGAGCTGTTTGATTAAAAAGACTCGTCATTATATGCCAACAAGTGATTATTGAGCTTAGGCAGGCGCATAATGTTTGAGGTGCTCGCAAACATTGTATTGTTGTTCTCCACATTTACAGATGTGTGGGGAGAGAGGAGGTACTTGAGACCCCCCCTCAATCTATTGGCTCATTGCTCAATCATACAGCATAATTAATTAACACCTCTATTACAGAAGAAAATATCAATGCTCTTACTTTGTAAATCGACTTGACTTTTAAAAGCATGACAACTAGTTTTGTGGTAATTAGGCTATTGTTGTCTATTGATTTCCAGTTATAGGGCTCCTTTTTGTTCCTGTGTGACATTTCTGAACGTTTGACTTGTAAACAAATGTAGTAGAGACAAATGAATATATTACACCACTTTTCTCTATCTAGTTCAAACAAGAGATTTATGACCAGGGATGTTTGTACACTTGCTTGAACATACAGAAACCTGATGATACTAAATGGTTCCTGCATGATGCTCAATCTCTCTAAAAAAAAGAAATCTACTAAGATAACACACATTTCCTTCCAACACAGCAGTCATATTCTGCAGAAAACATCAACAGTGAGCTTCAGGATCTTCAAAGAATTGTGGATGTTACTGCAGATGCAGGAAATGTATATTGAAAGTGTGGAAATTAGATTTTTCTGACATAATTATTCCAAAAACTTCCTCCGCCGTCATCAACTCTGCCTTACTTTTCTTCAGGTTCTTAAAAAGCTCCCACACAGAATATTTTGCCAAAAGGGAAGTAATGATTTCATGACTCAGCATGACATTTACACGATCTGAATGTGGGTGTCAAACCAGGAAGCTGTGGAGCTTTATGCACATGGTCCACTCTGAAGACAAGCCACAACATAGAACTAACTGACACAGCTTCACATGAACAGGACTGAGACCCACTGACCAATCACAGAACTGTAAACAGGCGCAGCACTGAACCATGGGAGAGCGCACGGCGGGCAGAGGGAGGGGGGTGTCTGACAATCAAAAGAAGCAAGTCAACAAACAGAAGACGAAATCAAAGGATCACCCCAAAGAACTGAAAGAAACGACAGCGATGCAGAACCACGACAGAGAGGAACAGAGGAGGCTGCAGAGCTGTGGAGGCTGCAGGAGACTTCAGCAAGACAGAAAAATAACAGAAGAGGGAGAGAGTCAAACAGTGATTACAAGACAACATGAAGTCCTGAGCAACACCCTGCAAGGAGGCAACAGTGAGAGAAATGAGGAGTCAAAGGCGAAAAAAAAAGAAAAGAAACTGAAGATACACAAACGGAACAGACGACAGCTCACAGCCCAATAATACTGCGAGGGTGCAACTCCCACACACACCGACAGCCTCGCTTCAGCCAAAAAAACAGCGCTGCACTTTTTGCTTTCTCATATTTATTATCAGTTTAACTAAATGTTAAAACATGTGGTGGGAAAACTGACGGAATAGAATTTAGAAAATTCACTATTTCTTACTTTGCTGATTTACGCTAAATGCCTGATAGCAGTTCAAGGACAAAACCTTCCTTTCCTAAAAGGCCTTTATTACGACTCATCTGCACTTTAGTGCAAGTTTAAGTCAAGGCGGATGCTTCCCAATACTTAAAAAATTATCCAAGAATCTTCCATGTAGTAAGGCATCTACTTATATACTTATTCGCTTAATAACGACTTTTAAATCAATGTAAAACAAAAACAATTCCTTTTTATTTTTGCAACCAAAAGTCAAGACTTACAACATTCGGGTCGTCAATATGTACACTTCTGAAAGGTGTCTAGAGCTTTACTTCTTCTATTTCATGCTGTATTATAATTTTTTTCTTGCAATGGTGGGGGGTCTTTTGTGGCTTTATTGTAGAGCTAGGACAGCGGATAGAGTTGGAAATCAGGGAGAGAGAGAGAGAGTGGGGATCGACATGCAGGAAAGGAGCCACAGGCCGGACCTGAACCTGGGCCACCAGCCTGGAGGACAATAGCCTCTGCACATGCAGCGTGTGCACCAACAACTACACCACCGGCACCCCATTTCATGATGTATTAAATGGGGTATGGGGGTAATGCGTGGGCTGAGAGTGTGGTTTGCACCATCCTGTTACAATTGAGCCAAGGGAAAAACAAAAATTGCAAGAAGCATTCACCTTTTTGCAAAAAAAGCTAAAATAGCAGATGTGCCAATTTTGCAACAGAAAGCCCAGGTTTTCATCTTTTGCATTGTTACGTTACATATATGTCGATGATGTTATTACTTATGTTACATGTGGTGACAGATAATCCTTATGATCTAAATAAAAAACTACAATAACTACTTCTTATTTTTGTAGCTGAACACCTAGACTTTGAATGTTTTAGTGAAATTTATAAAAGACATAATTTCTTTCTATTTCTTCTATTTTGTGACGACTTAAAAGGGAGGTGGGGTAATGCGTGGGCTGAGAGTGAGGTTTCCATTGCTTGTGGAAATGCAGGAAGCATTCGCGGGTTTTCTATAGAAAGCCAAGGTTTCCATCTTTTGAGTCATTGCGTTTCGTGTGCAGATTATGTTATAGCTTATGTTACATAACGTGACACACTTTCATTATTTTAGTGTTAACTAACGATGTCCCAGGAGATTGTGGTGAACTGATAACTGTGAAAACAATAATCCCAATGGGGGACTTTTTCTGTTGCTGAGGACTGTAGCTTCATGAAATACTTGATTTGGATCCATAATCTCTATTGGCTGATAGCAAAAGCAAAAGTATTAATTTCCAAATTGGAACTGAAGAAGTTGGACTGCTGCATCTGTGTAGATAAGAACAGTAAAACTTAAGTGAATGTTCAAGGGCTTAAAGCGACCAATAAGCAGGATATAACTCATACGTTTAGGATAAGACCTCTAAAAGCCGCAAAGACTTCCTGGCGACTGTCAGTGTTTCAGCAGCTTTTGTTCTCTTTTGTGTTATTATTGGAGGTCATCCGTGACTTCTGCTCTGTGAATTATTTCTGCGTGCTAAAGTGTGATGAGCGTCCAAGAGCAAGTAGTGTTGGTGTGTGTGTTTCTGTGTACATCAAAAAGCATTCTGTCTGCAGCAGATGCTCCAACCATGGGCGGTCGGAAGGGGGGGGAGCCATGTGTGTTGGTGTGTGTGACAGCATTTGTGTGTGCGTGCTGAGACAGCTTGCAGAGGAAGTTGGACATGTGTCGGATCACACGGGACACTGAAGACGGTTGGCTGGTAGAGTTTGGAGGTTGGAGCAATGATGTCATCAACACAAACATACAGTCGTCAAATCGATTAAAAATTAAATATTTAAAGGCACTGAGGGAACGTTTGATTTCTCCACAGGGACACTTGTGAAGGACACCTTAAAGGTCAGACGTGTGTGTCTGGGTGACCCTCACAGGGGGAGATATATTTGTGTCTCAGAGCGTAACGGGACATTTAGAGGGCAATCAGAGTTTTTCTAAGATCATAAACTTAAATTTATAGAGAAACTTTTATCACTTAAAGAACAATTTAATTAGAAACACTAAACAAAGTGTTGTTAAGTGGTCATAAATACCAATATTTTTTGTGCATCTAATACCTACCAATACTAGAAGAAATCCTCTCAAATCTAAAGGCATTTTAGTCAGACTCTAAGAGATTATTTCCCATCATGCTCAAGGTGGAAAAAGGCAAGAAGACAGTGGAGCAGAAATAGAGGCAGCTGCTATTGTGTGTGCAGCAATTAGCATTTTCTGCACTGCTTGAGGCCTAACATTAGCGGGTTTAGCATTATTATAGTTAGCGGGTCATTAGCAAGGAGCTACTTCCAAATCATAATCACGATATGTGTTGATTTAACGAATACATAAAGATGAAGAAAAGATCTCAAGAAGTATTGAGATCAAACCACCCCACTTTTTTCAGATAACGTAGATTTCATGGAGATAACTTACAGCGATTTAAAGAAAGATAAATCATCGTCGGACTGCATAATATTGTGCACCTATTTTGCTCTTCACAAGGAGCTTGAGCAACATGTGAGTGTTTTCTTAACTTTAAACTAGTCGACGAGTCTGAATTTAAATTTCTGTTTAATCGACAGGGAAACTAGTCGATAGGAACATCGCTACTTGAACAGTCACAGTGTGTCAGGTTAGCATTAGTTAGAGAGCAAAAGACCAAAAATTGAGTGTCGCAATTGTGTACCAATGTGAATATAAGCTAAACAAACATTTATGGACCCATTTACTAAATATTTTTCTCATCTCACACAAAGTTCTTCTCCAAGTGATAAACTCTACAAATCATCATTTATGTTGTTTCAAAAACTCTTATCCCATTCTGAAAATGCCCCCACATGCTCTCAGAAGTTAAGTGAACAAATATAATCCCAAAGTCACCCATGGCCGTTACCACAGTAACTGTGGATGCTCTGATTGGCTGACAAGGACTTGCCGGTTGAGAGTTGCACCCTTCCACAGGTAAAGCAAGGCGAGAGAACGTCCCCCTTTGAACAGCAGAGAAGGAGCGAGAGAGAGATGGACTGGACACCCCCCTACTGCCGCTGGGTGGAGGGTGAGGAGGGGGTGAGTAACAGGGAGGATGGAGGGACAGAGAGAGGGACAGATGGATGAATGGAGGGGTTACCTTTGTTGCGATTTTCGGGGGGTCCTTGTTTTTTACCTGTTCGGACAGAGAGAGAGGGCGGAATGCTGATAAGATGGCTCAAAGGAAAAATAAGATCAAAACAAACTGAGGGAGAACACAAAGTTCAAACTGATAGAAACCCACAGGTGTGTGTGTGTCGTGTGTGCGTTGTGGGCAGGAATGGACCAATCAGAGGAGAGAGACACAAGACTTCTGGCTGCAGAGAACCAACAGTTACACTCTTCTGCAGCAGACCTTTTTTTCAAAAATATCTTAGTAAACATATTTTTTTAAATGTAGAGTTCAATCCAAACCAACAAAAATATATCAAACAATTATTGGCTTGCTTCAAAGTGATGCTCTGTGTAAATCAAATACATACTATCCTATTGGTTGGATGGTATATGGGCTTGGGTTATTACCTTCCCCAAGGAGATCAAGTTTGGGCACGTTTTTGTTGGTCAGATTAGGTTAGCAGGAATTACAGAAAAATGAAAGGCCTGATTTAAATGATATTTGGTGGAAGGTTGTGTTTAGGGTCAAGGAAGAAATAATTGAAAATTTAGGCCAACTCATAAACAACAACAGTTTATGGACTAACAAAAAGTAAGAAGTCCAATGGACTGATAAAAAGTACAAAATTATTTCTTTTTGGCTGAAGTCAATGGATAAAACAGTTCTAGACTTGGAAGTTTTGGTTTGTTTGTTTCCCGCTTTGATTAAGTTTGAAACAGTTCAATCTTAGCCAGCAGTCATTGATGAAAGTGTAAACAGTCAGTGAGAAGGGTTTGAAGTCTTTGGTACAAACTGTTTTAAATCTGGTAGGGGATAAATGTTGCATGTTGCCCCTGAGGTTTTAAGAGTAGTGTGGGTAAACACATAACCACTCCACTGGATCGACGTGTAACCACATTCAGCACAGGCATGTGGACGTTAACAAGCAAGGATGACTGAAAGCTGGTGGGGCTAGTGCTGCGAACGTTAGCCACACTCTGCAAACCAATTTAACACTAATAACCTGCATATTTAAGCGGTATAAAAAAAATAGCTCCTTCATCCATGTCTTGGTAACTCAAGGCTTGATCGATTTTGTTAAAGGTCTTTTCGTTAAAGGACGTTTCACCTGAAAGGCTTCGTTTCTTCAGTTCTAAAATGACTGGTGGAAGGAGCTAGAAGTCTAAGCCTCCACGAATCATGAGTGTACTAATGATCAAGGTGGTCCTACGGGAGTCGTTAGCTGACCCAAGGCTTATATTTCTAGCGCCTTCCACCAGTCAGTAGAAATAAAAAAATCTTTCATGGGAGTGGTCATAAATGTCTCCAATACCGCAAATGTTTCAAGTTGAATGGGCCACATGCAATATGGGTTTCGTTTGGTTCAATAAATTGTGCCAAAGTTTAACTGTTTTCTGGGTGTTTTCTCATCTATTGGACTGGTTTGAATTCATATTTACGTTTAATTGACAGGAAAACAAGCCATTTGGAGCATCCCTAATCTACAAGGGACTGGTATATGTCAAAGAAGTTGCTGATTGTTTAACTTGTTAATTCTTCTTTAAGCTTTAACACAACTGCATAAAAAAACTTCACGTTCAAACCTTAAATCTGATGATTATGGTTGTGTTATTTGAATGTCGAGTATGGATGCATATGTACTTTACATGTTGACCTTGAAGTCTGTTATTGGGCCGTTTAGCTGATTAAATACAGTAAGGTGATAGCATGTAACAGGTGCATTTCTCTTCTTTATGTTGCCCTAATATGGAAGTATTTGCTTTTATTGTGATAAAAGGTTTCTGCAAGCTCAAACAAGGCACACCCCGGCCGCACGCACGCACGCACGCACGCACACACAGATCTTTGTTATTCAGCTTGTGGTTTGTGATTGATGAGATTTATGTGTTTGTGTGTCTCAGTGTTTGCACTCACTGACTCTTATGCTTGTAAGATAACGAATGGGTGTGACTTTACATGAATGCATTAATGTGTGTGCATATTAGTGTGTGTACAGTGGGTTGACGCATCCATGCGTGACAGTAAAGGCTGCTTTGTGTCTGTTGTTACTGGAAAACGAGACACAAAACTGTGTTTCTCTGATGGTCCTGTTTTCCATATTTGCGAGGACCCATTAATGTCAAATGAATGGTAGGTGGGGACATTTTCTTTGGTTGGGAGTGAGGGAATCAGTTTTATCAATGGGTACAGATGCATGTTAGAGATGCTGTCTAATAGAAATCATTCAACTGTTTCTGCAGTCTTGTGGCTCTCCTCATTAGGAATTCAACGATGGTTAGAGTTTTGTAAAATCAGTGACTGGAGGCCGGATGTAAACCTGAGCGTCTCTCTCCGCTGAGCTGGTTCATTCAGCCAGTTCACAATGAATGCCTGACAAACTCAAAACTTTAGCCAGTAAAACAAATGATGAGACAAAAACAAACTAAAGAAAGAAGACATGGGTAAAAGGGGGTTAGCATGATCACAAGCAAATCAAAAGCAATAGAGACCGACTGCAGAAGCCTGTTGGTTTACATCAAATTGCTCTGTGATAGTACGAGGATCATCTGGACTTTGGCTTTTGAAGGGTTCAGCTCCAAAAAATGCAAACAAAGCATGGTACATTTGGCATTTTTAACGAACATCACATTAATGGCAAATTAATGCTTCAGTTAAGTGGTCATGAAGAACCACAAGTTAATGAATCAATGAGACCATGATGTAATGTTTCTACAAACTAATTATGTGTAATGTATCTAATTATTTTGTTCTTTTTAAGATCTATTTCAAAGTTTGGTGGCTGATTTAATCACCTCTTGCAGGGTTATGCTACAGGGATTTCCAATCAGCTTCATTCAGCAGAGCCTACATGTATCAAGATGCATTGCCACAAGCAACTAAAACATTGCTATGCTGCAGTTTTTGGGAATATCTAGTTAAGGAAATGACTGGCTGAAAATCCAAGTCAGCCAAATGCATCCCCTGAAGTCACATTTTTGGGATGCCATTTTTGTTTTGAGTACTGAAATTTGCCTCACAAGCAATGGTGACTCAGCTAAAAAAAAAAGCTTGTATTTCTTTAGGGTCACCATGTACGTCAAATGAATGTGCTGGCTGCGAAGAACAACAAATTTGTCAGCGGTATTATACTTTACTTGATAATTATTTGTCTCAGTATCCTAATGATACCTAGTATCTAAATATCTCTTAATATTTCTGTCTCTCTGTAACATGCCTTAAAATGTGTGTTTATTGTGGACATATATTTATCAAAACAGTCCAAGATATGACTTAAAAATATAAAGGTTTTCATTGCAGATAAAGGCTAAGTATCCACTGTGTTGTAGTAGAGTTAAGCAAGAATATTTGATTAGGTCTATTTATTTAAGACAGAGCCTTCGTTATATATTTAGAGATTTAGCAAACACTCATGCTATCTTAGCACTCTCTCATTATAGAGTATATCCCTTAACCTAACCCCATGTTCACTGCTTAAACATGTAGAAAAATCTGAACACAGAGGGAACTGTTGTGTCTTGTTTTGGTTGCTAAATTATGATAGGGGGTGGATAAACGACTTAATCTTCTGCTGTTGTAACAATTATTTTTTAATTAGATACCAAAGTCTCATGTCGGTTGAGTTATGTTTAACATATTTGATCATTACTGGTGAGCTCAGCCATGGTCTCATTTATTCACTGATGATGCTTTTTGTGATCAGATTGAAGCTCTCTTTAAGCAAACATATAATATTTAGACCCTTCAAACAGCTCTGCTGTAATCAACTCAGACTGGATGAACTCTACCTGCTGACAGAGTCGGCTAGTACAACAGAGGAAACTTCAAATCAACACCAGCTGATAAAAACGTGCAAATATTTCCAATCTGCACTGTTTAGACAGTAGAGTAGAAATATTCAGTAGTGGACACCAGGGTAGCCATCTTTCTAGCCAAACTTTCCTCCCAAAACACTTCACACACTTATTGCCCTCATATGACCTTGAGTACTTCAACATGATCTGTGTTTTCTGAGATGTTTGTGACATTCTTTGTCTCGTGTCTTACTTTTCTTGACCTTCTTCTCCTCATCGTGCTCGCTGGCACCCAGTAGAGTAAAGATGATGCCGGTCTGAGAGTTGAGGCCGACGGCTGACACCAACATCCTGCCCGATCCCTCCATGACATGGGTCCCTGAGGAGAGATTCAACAGACTTTGAGTCACAAGTGGTAAACCTATCACTTTTCAGTAAACTTTGATTTTAACAGCTAGAGAGCAATAAAAACTTAAATGTAAGGATTGAATCCTTTTCTTATTGGCTCCTCATTGAAATTGAGTTGGCATGCTTTAGATCCAGTCATTACAGAATAAAAGATCCTGATTCAGTTCCAATATTGTCATCTTCTGGAGTACCCCATGGATCAATCTTGGGGCCACTATATTTTAGTTGTTTTTGAAGGTTAATTTTGTTTTTTTTAATGCTTCCATTTAGAGACAGGTCAGTGGAAAGAGTCAGAAGACGGGGAGACAGAGTGTGGGTAACGATATGTGGGAAAGGAGCCACAGGTCGGACCGAACCTCGGCTGAAAATAAAATGTGATATTTGATCTTTATTTGTCTGAGAATGTAAACGGGTGTGGTCATAATGTTATGGCTGATCAGTGTATACTAAAAGTAATGTTATCCGAGTTGTTGTTCATATGCATTCGTTCCTGACTGTTTAAGTGCCAGTTGTTATCCTGTAAACACCTCATTCTGAATGGCACTAGTCTTTATAAATTGATTTTTTTAAACACCTGTTGATTTATTTGTCTAATCATCTATCCTGACAGCTTGTCTGTTGTGTGATAGATTTATTTAAGATCTGAAACCACGTTCTGGCACAGACGCTTTTCCTTCTAGACAAGAATCAAACAGTAATAGAAAATAAGGGTTTAAGTGGATGTTATTATCTGTATTACTCGAAAGAAGAAACCTCAGCCATTGTCATATGTTGTGATTCTCAGCATTCACTCACCGGACAGAAGCATGGGGTCTTTCTCCATAGACTTGCGGACATGGTCAGATTCACCAGTCAGAGAGCTTTCGTCAATCTTCAGGTCGTTGCCTTGGATCAGGATCCCGTCAGCAGGCAGCAGGTCTCCTGCAGACATAAGAGTCAGAAGATGCATTTTATTCCTTTATTAATCCTTATTCCTTTATTCCAAACAGCTTTGGTGTAAACAAATGTGTCTGCAAGTATGAGCGATCATTTTTAAAACTTTTTAAGTCCCTGGGTACACATTGTATGACTTCTGCTATTACTGCTGAAAATAAAGTGCAACTTCACTTAACCTTCCTACTCTGAAGATGTTATTGTTAAAAAACATGAGACCAGAAAGGTCCAAGGGACTCATTGTTTTGTTGTGTAAGACCTCAGATCTCAGATGTAACTATAACCATTTAGCTTGTATATGTTTGGTTCCATCTTTTTAAGTAAGTAATTATGATATATCATTTTGTGCGTTTGTCAATATTTCCCATTCATCACAAACTATATGGCCAAATGGACAGTTCTGTCCACATACTTTGGTTTAAGTCAAATTTCTTCTGATTGGGTCATTATTCTTAGTAACTCTTGAAGTGAATTTTGATACTTTGGTGTACAATCATATTTTTGTAAATCAAAATAAATAGTTTGCTACCAGTATTGTGTGAGACTAACAAAGGGCCTTATTTGTTTCAATAGGACAGTCCATAAAAAAATGGTCTGTACATTTTGTAAAAGTAATCAAACAACAATTAGCCTGATTACAAGTATCTTTCATTAAATTATATCAATGTTAAAAAAAGCAGAATGCTCGTTAAACAAGAGCCAAACTGTCCTGTTTAAGTCGGGTTTTATGCTTCGTCTCGTACCGTATTTGATCTGAGCGATGTCTCCCACCACGAGCTCGGCCACAGGGATTTGGATGACCTGGCCTTTGCGGATGACGGTGAACTTTTGTTCTTGCTCGATGCGACTCTGAAGACCGCGGAACTGCTTCTCCTTGGACCAATCGTTGAAGGCCGTCACCAGAACCACGATGATCACAGAGAACAAGATGGCGGCGCCTTCTATCCAGCCAGCCTGGGACTCGCCCTCGTCCTCGACGCCTCCTGCAACTTGTCCGCATGCTACGTGAAGAGAAGGACATGATGAGTTCAGTTCAGTTTTTATAGCCGTTGTGTTGCATATTAAATCTGACAGTAATCATTTAATCTGTTGAATTCTTAATTTTCATCAATGGTATCTACAGTCCTGTCTTTGCAGTATTTTTGCTGGTATAAAACCTGAGTTCAGACTCTGACTGTACTGACCTTCACTGTCACCCCCTGGTGGATGGTAAAAGGACAGGCCCAGTGAGATGATTGCAGCGATTTCCAGGATGATAAGCGTGACGTCCTGCAGAGCCTCCCACACCAGCTGCAGGAATGTCTTGGCCTTCTTTGGGGGGATGAAGTTCTTGCCGAATGCCGCATGACGTTTTTCCAAATCGACGGGGTTTCCAGACAAACCTGCAGACACAAGAACAAAACTTTAATGTACAAAACTATACAGAACAAGTCGCTTTTGTTTTTTTTTACCAAAGAAGAAACTGTGTAAATTGATAAACCTTTGAGTGAATAAGCCAAACCAAAGATGGTTAAAAGACCTTGCAAAAAACTGGATTTCTTTAGAAGAAAATATATAAAAAAGACAATGGTTGTATTCATTAACCACTGGAAGTGTTGCAACTGAAAAGGTTTTGATCAAATACATTTCCTATGCAGCCATTCTTCTTTACAGCCCCTGTCCTTCTTATGAACTCAGGAATCATTTCTGCCCCTGAGACAAACTAAATTCTTTCATCTCAAGTCCGCAGAAATGATAACATCATAACATCATCACCGTGTAGCTGCAGCCGCTGTTAAATAAAAGACATGATGTAACTTTGTTCCCTATTTATTCCCAGTTCTAATGGATGTTCGTGCTCTGTGAAAAGTTCATAGTCTCAAAGTCGTGACCTTTCTCACCACCGGTTCCCCAGAGTCTGAAAACTAAATTAAATCTTTCCCATCACACTTTTGTGTAGTACTCAAAATCAGTCTTGGTCCCAAGACTGGTCTCGAGACAACTATTTGAAGGTCTCTGTCTCTTCTCAGAATCAAACCATATATACTCGGTCTTGTCTCGGTCTCAGACTGGGTGGACTCCAGATTTTGAATGAAGACCAGTGAAGACCACCACTGAAAAGCTATTTTTCCTAGTTTTAACTGTAATTAGAAGGAAAACGCCTCTTTCATAAAGCATGAATAACTTCATTTATAATTTGAATTGTATACCCCTTATCCAGCCGGGACACGCCCGCTGCACACAAGATGAGGGTATTTCCTGTCATATTTATGGTCTTGGTCTTGACTCAGTCTCCCCTGCATTAGTCTTGGTCTTGGCTCAGTCTCGATCCCTAAATGTCTTGGTCTTGTCTCGGTCTCAGAGCGCTCCGGTCTCGGGTATGTCTTGGTCTTGGTTAGTGTGGTCTTGACTACAACTCCAGTTCACACATTATCTATTGAAGAAAATGAAAGGTGTTCCTGCTGGTTCATTTATTTGTTCTCAGTGAAATCTAAATCCAACACCACAGTTTCTATTGTGAAATGAATCATTGATTTTTTTTATCCAGAAACAAACACCAGACTTAAACAACCCTGACTTGTCACTTCTCATGTCACAACACTTTCTTTCCTAAGTCAAAACTTGTACAGAATTCTGTCCGCTGACACCTAAGATACCAAAATCCAGCCCTGTGTTTGCAATTTATTCATTTGTAAGCAAAATCTGGACACAGAAAAAAAACAAGTATTGAATAACAACAATATAAACATTATAAAACCATTATCCTTTTGTAAGACTCTAAAGTTAGCCTCCTGATAAATCGTGTGGAAGGTTTTGTTCACACATTTTCCCTTTAGACGTCAGCGTTTTGTCACTTGTGTAACTTTCGTTCTATTCATGCTTTGTCCAAACTGCTCGAACCTCAACTTCTCCCGCCTTAAAGCTTTTTTTAAACTTCGATAACTTTGAGGCGTAGCGGTGCTCCTACACAGTGAGAGGCAGAAGATGCACTGTCGTTATAAAACATCCAGATTTTACACGTTTCTATAAACAGACGTTTTTGCAACATGACCTACTTCTGTTTCCATGAGAAGATTACAGCCTCTCCACACACACACACACACACACAGTTTGTTTGGGAGAATCACCAACACAAATGTTCCACCCAGAGATGTTCTGTATCTGCATTCATTATTTCCTCTTCTCTGTCTGGAGGATCAGACGAAAATAAAAGACTCAAAAGGTCAAGAAAACGGTGCATTCAGGTGCAGCCACAGAAATTGGAGAAAAAAAATTCCCATGAACACAAGTGAATGATAAACAGCTGGGAGTATTTGTGATGTCCGACATGTTTAAGTTATCACTGTTTATTTATAAGTGTTGCTTGGTTATTTTAGACCCCTCCCAAGCAGCTCTATTTCTTAACTGGATGCAACCCCTTAAAGAAAACCAGAAAATCTTTCTGTTTTTGGTCATATAGTTAAATGAGAGAATCATTCACTGAAGTTAGTGTTCTGTTCGATTGTCAATCATCTAGGCTGTGACTTCTGATCTTTAATCTGTGGCCCTTGGTTTGGGAATCTCTGTCAGTAATGAGCTGATGGCAGCCCGAGCTGACCTGAACCCTCCCAACATCCCCGCTGAACACACAATCTGCTGCTCCAATGGAGCCAAAATCCTGCACATAAACACGGCTCCACCTGATCAGCCAGTTTGAATATGCTGCGTCACAGGAAAAATACTGTAGAGGAAACACGTATTGAGAAATCATTAAATACTGACCAATTCCACGAAACTGTCATAGGCCCCCAATGAGAGGTTACTTCCTGTTTTGATTTTCCAAAATTACAAGGAAACACCTGCACATTGTCTAAGTTGCATAAATACATTGAGAACATTTCAGTCAATGTATTGGTGCAATTTAGACACTGTCACCTCCTCTGCTCTCTGTCTGTTTTTAAAAGACATCAACCTTACTTTGCATCTTAAAGAGACAACAAAAAGTACATGAGAAATTGAAGTACTTGTGCACTTGTAAATTTGAATTGACCGCCTCTCTCTCCTTCTCGCTCTTGGTTGGCACGGGACGTTTCTGGGTGGGGAGCTGGTGTGTTTCCTCCAGCCAATGACACAGTGGCACAGGTGAGTTTAGGAGTGGATACAATTCAGGGATTGGAGGCGATTCAAACTGGTAAAAAAATGACGGACATGGACGTAGCGTGCAAAGAAGAGAAAAGACAGTGAGGCTGAAACACCAAAACGTTGTTCCAAAACTGGGGTGAACATTCAGTTGGCTTTCTGTTTGACAGGCAGTTAGCTTGGGCTAGCTTGCAGCAGTGAGTGTGAGTGAGCCCAGGAGGAGCGGCCCAATTTGAATGTTGAGTTTACAATCTGCAATGAAAAATGCTACTGACCCCACCTTTAACCAACCATCGGATTTCTCCATTTAATTGATTCTAACCCTCTGCGGAAAGATTTCCCACAATCCTCTGCCAACTGAAGATCAAATATTATCTGTGATTTTCCTGATTCCAGATGTGTGACCGTCATTTTCCAGCAGTGACTCATCCCTCACGCTCATTCATTCTCCATATAAAGACAATAAAAAGAGTTCTCTGTGCAGCCGGATGCTTTCATGGAGGGGGATTCGTCTTCAGGGCTCCTCATGTTTGGTTCTTATTACATCTGGGTGAGAAGTTCATATAAACCTCTTCACCAGTTGGAGTTTATTTATAATGCTCCGTCAATTAATGAAGCGTAATCAGCAGCTCGTGTTTATCTTCTCTTTCTAACACCGGAGGATTTTCTGAGCTCAGTTCATCACCACAGGACCTCATTAACCGTAACTTCAGCAATCTGTGTTTACTCACAGCGGCTTCTGCAGCACAGGGACGAGAGTGAATGGAATCGAGACTCACTGATCCGCTTCCCCTGTTTGTTTTTTTTTCCTGCACTAAATCTGGGTGTTTTTCAGAGCAGTGTGCGACTTCCTCGGTGTGATTGCAAGGGCAGAAACATGGCTGCTGTGTTTTCTGGGAGGAATTGGGAGATGTGCAGTGGAACGTGATGTGAATTTCAACAGGCTGCAGTGCCAGGATTCCTCGTGAAAGCAGGACTCTGTAAGTCAGCGAGAAACATGAGCTCAGGCGTGTTTCTGTCTTCTTCATGTTTTAGTAATGACCTCCTCTTCTTCTCCGAGGATTCTCTCTGGACACATCAGATGAAGAGTTCTCCTCCTCCTCCTCCTCCTCCTCCACTAAACTTCTCTCCATCTGTCTTTCTTTTATTCTCTATAGATGCTGTAATCACCGAACGATTCTGAGCAGGGAGGCAAGATAAATATCAGAGCCCAACCCTGTCAAAACTGAAGTCTTTTCAAGTGTATTTGTCTTATTTCAAGTGTCATTACGCTGGAGCTCCAATAGCCTAGCGGTTATGTTGCTGCTTGGCCCTTTGCTGCATGCCATCGCCCCGCTATCTCCTCCAAATACCTGTCTCTCTTCAGCTGACATATCCAATAAAAGGTACAAGTTTTTGTTAATTGACGAGATCTAAAAAGCTACTACAGTATGAAATTCATTAAAAAGAACACATCCTCCATCATTTTTGTTTCACTGTGCAGATTCTGCAAGGCCCGTCTCTGAGGCTTTGTGCTGCAGCCTCCACACAGCCTCAAACCCCACAAAGAGGCGGACAGTTTCCTCCTGCCAGACGGCATTACCTCGCTGTAATCCTGTTGATTTGGTCAAATTTCTCAGAGTAACGCGGTGCTGGTTTTAATCAGTCTGTATAGAGCAGGCCCACTCTCTCTCTCTCTCTCTCTCTCATGTTAACTCGCTCTAATCAGCTATCATGAGTTGCCTGAATTTGCCCAAGATTTCTGCCTTTGTAAAGGCCTTTTTTTTTATCTAGCTACATGCTAAATGTTGCTATAGTGCTCATGATGGATGAACGCTGGGTCTTTGTAATATAGCAAAGAGTGCAGTCTTTTACCTGCTCTTTATGTAAAGTATCTCGAGATAACACTTGTTATGAATCTGCGCTACACAAATGAAGATTGATTGATTGATTGAACTCTCTGTGTAGCTGCAGCACAGGCTTGTTAATTTACAATCTCTCCAAAATGAGGCGAATTTACGTCACAAGACAACCACTGAAAAACAAAGATATCATGATAAAGTGAAGGTTTTGGACAATGACCTCATGACCTGTGCCATGCTACCTTCATTAGACGTCTTTAAAGCAGGAATTATAGATGTAAGATAATAAATATATTGAGACATTAAATGAAGGGATGTGGTGAGTTGAGAGCAGATGAAGAAGGGTTGAAGTGACCTCTAAAGATGAAGAGTTTTGATGTGAGATGAGCGATATGATGAGGAGACAAGATGAAAAATAAATTTTTGAGTATTCAGCTTGTAAT